CGATAGACAGAGCTTTTCCTTAGTTTACACATATCCAAGGAGAAATTTGATAAGTCAGCCTGCTTCGAGGTCATACGGGGGAGTCAGATTAGCCACAATTGTTGATTTTTTCAGGCAGACTATTTTTTTTTGTCAGCCTTGAGTTCTGCTGGTACTTTTGATCCAAAATGGCCAGATTTGTGGGCATTCCACTGGTCTGTGCTTATGAGCCCCCTCCAAGGTCGTCCCCAACATGCTGGCAAGTCCCAGAAGCTGCAGGTGGCCTGCAATTCTCACAAATTGCTTCCACCTTATGGTTTAGCTCATAAATCAGCTGATTTTGAGTACTAGAAGCATGAACCAAACCTTCACACAAACTCTGCAGTTTTGCCATGGCCAAAACTGCTGCCGCCGTCTTCTTCAATAGCCGATAATGTAGGAATCCGTCAATGCCAAAAAGCAGAAACCCTGCTATAATGGTTGCAATTATAGTAACATCTTTAGCGTCCTCCTGAGACAATACGGAAAGGCACATCAGCTCCCAAACTCCCCACGGATCCATGACGTCTCCTGTCGCATGCATGAAGGCTCTCTAGGACCCTGTCGCTTTGTTGAAAAGATTTTGTCGATTGCGTTGAAAGTCCAGCTGATCAGATCCATGACAGCCTCAATATGTGAAAACTGTGGAGGGTTCAAAATGTTTTAAACCTTAAGGCAATAGTTCAGATTACTGGACTCGGGCTTTTGTGGAAAAGTTATGAACTGGACCAAAATGAATGCTTGGGCTAGTTGTGAGCTCATCAGAACAGTCAAAACAAACTATTTCCCCAAACTTGTTCAAAAAACTTTGTATGGGCGACAGGTAAGATATTTATTCACCACCTTTCACAAAACCCCACGTCACCAGATCTAAACTACTGCTGCGATTGTTACATTGTTTAGATATTTATTAACCTTTATTTAACCAGGCAAATCCCACTGAGATCACAGATCTCTTTTGCAAGGGAGGCCTGGACCTGAAGGCAGACTAACATGTATGTTTTTGGTCTGTGGGAGGAAACTGGAGTACCTGGAGAAAACGCATGCATGCACTAGAAAAACATGTAAAATCCACACAGAACGACCCCAGGTCCAACCAGGGATTGAACCCAGGACCTTCTTGCTGTGAGGCAACAGTGATAACCACTGAGCTATTGTGCTGCCAAACAAACTGAACTGAATTGTTCAACTTGAATTATTTTGCAGCGGACCACCAGAGTTTTCACACAGTCTGGAGTCAGATTGTGTTGATCAGACACATTTTGAAAGCTTTAAAAATAACCGGCATGAATTAGACCAAAATAAATGTTGCCTGTGTGGTTAATGAGCTACAACACCTTAAACACCTGCTCAGAGAGCTGAACAGATTGTTTCCCATTATAAATCAAGTTAAACAATTAAGGACATTTATAAATGTGAAAAGATGGACTGAACTGCAGACTTCAGGGCACATGACGAGTGATGCAAATGCATCATTTTTCAACAAAATAGTCCTATTTGGACCTAGTTTAAACTTTGTTTACCTTTACTACCATTTTCTCAAATGAACAACCTCAGAGAATCTGTTTTTACACATTGTACTGTACTGGGTGTGTGGCTTTGTTTTCTGACTTATTTGAATTTTGTTGCAGTATGCAGAGATGCAGCAGTCTGCTGGAAGGTATGATGATGACCTAAAGTCAACCAGAGCAGAGATTGCTGACATGAACCGCAGGATAATGAGGCTTCAGTCTGAAATTGAAATGGTTAAAACTCAGGTGAGGGTTCAAGGTGTCAGATTCACTCTGACATTTTTTACTGTGCTGTAGATTTCCATCTGATTGGCAGCTCTTAAAATCAAAGAACCTGTTTTAAACTCTTTGTCCTGCACCTCTTTCTGCTTTTAGAGAAACAACCTGGAGGCTCAAATCGCAGAGGCCGAGGAGCGCGGCGAGCTGGCCGTGAAGGATGCCAAGCTCCGCATCAGAGACCTGGAGGAAGCTCTGCAGAGAGCCAAGCAGGACATGGCCCTGCAGGTTCGCCAGTACCAAGAACTGATGAATGTGAAGCTGGCTCTGGACATTGAAATCGCCACATATAAAAAACTTCTGGAGGGAGAGGAGATCAGGTAAAGTGCCGGATCACTTGTTTGGAGCAGTGACGACAGCTGCATCCAACATGATTAAAGAGGGTTCATTTTTTAATCACCTGCTGCTGAAGGTGAAAGGCAACAAGGATTTGGTTTGTTAGCGAAATATCTCATGAACCAGCAGGCAGATTTTAATGAAAAAGTAAAAGATGTACATCCACTTACCTTACTCAATCCAAGATGGCTGCCACAGTGCCAAGTGATTTTAGGAAACACAGAAATGTCCTTAATTCAGTGAATTTTATAGGCACTGAGATAAAATTTGATGAACACTACTACAGTAAACGCTATCCCCAACAAATACTTTGAGCTCTAAACATTCTGAAGTATTTTAGCTTAAAACTTTGGCAATAACTGTTGGCATCAAGTCATCCATCCATCCATTATCTTTTACCCGCTTCTTCCATTTTGGGTCACGGGGGTCGCCGGTGCCCATGTCCAGCAATCACTGTACGGGGGCGGGGTACACCCTGGACGGGTGGCATCAATCCTGTCAGCAAAATATTTCACAAACCACTGGATTAATTTAGGGATTTAGAAATTGCTCTTAGAAAGTAATCATTTGATGCACATCTGCAACTGATTAACCTTGAAGTCAGCCCCATTCACCTTGGTCACCACAGCTAATCGGCTTTAGCCAACACAAAAATGGCTGTGACCTCATCAGTTTTACAGGTTCTGAGCTAAAACTTAGTGTGGTAGTAGCTGAGAGTCATTCGCTCTGAGCACCGTCACATCTTGTGAAATACAGCTACACTTCTTTAGATTGTGCATGGCAGCTTTAAGGTTTGACCGAAGCAGCTTTAACTCTGTTGTTTTTTTCAGCACAAGATGATTTTAATTTAAATATTTGGCATGAATGGTTGTAGGGAACATGAACCCATGTTAGGACTTTATTGTATTTTTTTCTTCTTTCTTCTGCAGGTTATCAACAGGAATCAAGACTAATGTGACGAAGCAAACTTGTGAGTCCATGTTCTTGTAAACTAACCGTGAAACATTTGACGTTTCATAACCTATACCATATTTCTTCTTACCAGCGTAATTCCCTTTATTTGGGGTCTCAGAGTACCCACCAGCTGCTTGTTGACAAACTTTGTTCTGATTCATAAAATAGATTCTCATCACCTTTCTTTCCCTTCTATTCTGCAGCGTTAAACTTCAGTGCATTCAGCCTGGAGAGTTCCCGCATCCCGTCTTACACCTCCAGTTCTGTCTCTGCACTGGAAGGAGGCGCAGTGAAGACCGCCTCGGTCACCAAGAGTGAAACGGTGGTGGACAAGGCGGAAGAGAAGAAGGAGAAGGAGCAGGAGGCAGCAACTGAGGTGTCATCAGCTGCAGAGAAGAAGGAGCTGGAAAAGGAGAAGGTGGAGGCAGAGGCTGTGGCTGAATAGTGATTTCTCCTTTTGATCAGCCCAAGTGATGATTTTGATCAAGGAATTTAAAACAAACCCTTTGTACCCATTGGCCACTTCTTTAAAGTCCCCTAAAAGACAGGTTGAGTCTCAAATAAAAATGTGCTTACATTTCAGTTCTTTTACAAGTTCCTGTAATTTCTGCTGACGTGTAGAAATGGCTGCACCACAATCATGACGCCAGCAGATGGCGCTGTTGTAAAGCACAGATTTCTTCTACACCTGTTGTTTAGCAAATAAAACATACTGAGGAGAAATAAACATTTGTGCCACACAAGAAGCTTTTAAAGGCTTCTGCTTGCTGATGCCTGAAATAATCTTTTAACTGCAATAAATCTCCAAACATGTGTGTGTCCCGTTTTTATTGTGAGCCACTAAATCTTCAAATAGTTTTAGTTTCACTTCGCAGAAAAGAAAAAGAGCCGCAAGGAGAAACATTTCCATGCAACATGACTCTCTTCCCCCCCCATGCACAGAAACATATTCTGCTTTCAGTGTTTGAAGAAGAGGGGATGATGCCTTCAAGCCTTTCCTCTGACAAGTCCCAGCATGCTTTGCTGCAGGCACTTATTGCTTCAGGAGTTTTCTTTTTCTTCAATATAATTAATTATTAGGGATATATATATATATATATATATATATATATATATATATATATATATACACTGTATATGTTTAACATTGTTAATATTTTTACTTTAGCAAAGTATTCACAATAACATTCACAAAACAAAGGGGCCCATCACTTAGTTTAACTCGAAGAGCTGTAATGGTGGATCAGACTAAAGTGGATAAATCTAAACTAAGATGCTCAGGAATCTGCAGCTTTCTTTGTTCATCACAATGCGATCCATGATTCAGGAGCAGGACTTTTGTCTCTTTCAGTACAACAGTTAAGAAGCTTTCCAAGCCCCATCGAAGAACAGGTTTGAACTTGAATAATGGGTGGTGCTGCCCCACCCAGGACCATACAAACGTCTCTTGTAGTTAGAAACCGAAAACTTCCCAAATCCCCAAATCCCACGCACTGTTCCTGCAGAGCGCTGCTGACACACACCGGGACAGACCGGAGCACGTCCAGGATTGAAAAACTCATGACTTCACATATGAAAGATGATACTGGAGAGAGGACACGCAGTCTGCACACAAAATGAGCTCATAGCAGCGTTTACAGTTGACCTGAAATTACATCAACAGCTGAAAACAAATGTGCTCACACATGCACGGCAGCCATGAAGTCAGAGGGTTTACCTGATACCTGATGGGTCATCAGTTGATCACAGCACTGATACAAAAACCTTCACTGATCATTCCAAACCCTTTAATCACCCAGCAGGCGCGTTTAAAAGTGTGGGAAAGACCTCATCCAAACACAGAGCCTTCTTCATGTGATGCAACACGGCTGACCAAGTTTTTCCAATTTAAAAGCTCAGAACCTTTCACAATAAATGAGTGGTGCACATCTTTTGAAGTGGAGTTCTGTGGAAATATGAACAATTAACATCTTACCTGTTGAAGATAACTTAATAACTTACCGAATGAGCTCAACTGGATGAAAAACTGTTTACTTATGATCAGATCCAAGCAGAGCCAAGATCAAAGTGAGCTGCTGTCATTTTAAAGAGATAGTCTGGTCATTTTTGCAATGATGTTCTGTCACATAGTTATATTTAGTACCTTTTCAGTCGTGACATCAGTCACAGAGCATGGAGTGTGGAGAAAAGGGCAGAAGAATTCAGCCAGGGCAGGCTAATGGTGTTCTCAACCAAGCAACATTCGTGCTACTACACAAAGGTTTGTAAACTCCAGTCCATCTGTTCTGTCTAGTCGGTCAAAGTTTTACACAGCACCTTGAGACCTGGTGCACTTCCTATAAGTATCACCAGCTTAAACAATTTAAATGGCTCTTTGAGCATCACACATACATTCACGTAGAGACACAGATGTAGTTTGATTGAGA